GCACGCGTGCGCCACCGTGGGATCTTTAAGAGCAGGTACAATAATGGGTTTATAGCTAAGTTAATGCTGATGTGGAGGAGATAAGAGAGGAGAGAGATGAGAGCTTGGCTCCTATGTAAGCACTAAGCTGGACACGGAAGTATAGGTATTAGTGGGTCCAAGTAGAAGTGTTGTGAGGAGAAATAGAAGAGAGAGGCTTTTTAAGACAAATATGAGACACTTATTGTATAACTTGGCTCTTATAGCTTGTCTTATAGCCAAATAACTTGGCTCTATTATTAACCTTGCTCAAATACGCTCGCAATCAATGATCTATATGAGCTGGTGGAGCTGACGTGGAGGTCGCGTAGATCGCCATGATTACCGGTAGTTTAAGACGACGACGTGGGGGCCAGGCCGGGCCGGTTGGCGCGAGCCGAAATGACATGAGAGGAGGTCGGGTCCAAGGCAGAGGGAATCCAATCCGCCCAAGGCTGAAAGCGCGGGGTGGGCGGGGCCCGCAGGTGCACGTGTGGGTGGTGGGCCTGCACCCACGTTCCGACGCACACGCATGGTGTGAACAGTGAACTGTGAAGGCGGGACCACACGTCCACGCTCTACAGGATTAGTAGTACCGCTGTACAAGTCTCCTCTGTCACCTCGTCTCGTGTTCAAGTGCAAACACCCAGGCTGGAGCCCTAGAGCTCACTCGCTCAGCTGGAATGGCAGTGGCAAATTGGCATGGACAGTCTATCACACCGCCTGCTTACCGCTATCTACCTCTATATAAGTGGAGGCCGAGCATAGTTTCCGGCAGGCGATCCAAGCGTGCCACTCTCATCGTCTCTTCTTCCAAGGTTCCCTCACCTGCTAGCTCCCCCCAACCCGGAACCAGAAGGATCGTTTCTGTCACTCCACCGCGTTCTGTTACTTCATAGACAGAGGGAGGAGGATATAGATGATGAAGAAGCAGAGGGGCTCTGGACGCGGGGGACTCAGCAAGGTTGCGAGGGAGCACAAGGCCAGGCTCTACATCATCCGCAGATGCGTCGTCATGCTCCTCTGCTGGCACGACTAGTAGCTAGCATTAGCCACCATATAGTAAGAACATGACCAAGAATCCTTTCCGGCATTGCAGCTCCTATCTACTTGAGGATGAATATATACCTCAATACCTGACTGCTACTTCTTTGAGTTTATTAGTTTCGTTTTTCTCCATCTCCTTTTTTCTTTCTAATTTTGTTTTGACTAGCATATATTGCTAGAGATTTAGTCATAGTTATGTACATACGCATATTTCTAATTGATGGTACCTTAGTATATGAACTGTGCCTATCCACTTTTGACCACTCGATTCCCTCCATTTCTCTGCCTAATTTGTGGGGCCTTATTTCATATTCAAGGATAGGCCCCAAGCCATATGTGAACTGTGCCTATCCACTTTAATCCACGTTTATACTCTCTTTAATCCCTTGCAAGAGATTCAACATGCCATCCCTCCCAGATTGAAATCTCTTTAACTGAACATATCATTTTGTCCATATCTCCACGGGGCCTATCATTGCAACGTAGCTAAGGCGCGCGGTAAGGCCTGTTTACCTCATCACCTCTAGCTCCAACGGCCAAGTTGGATTTATATTTAATTTAAACTCTAAACAAAATGCATATTCTACAGGTAAATGTTCTCAACGTACCTCTAACGTCAGATTTACTCTAAGATTTCTGCAAAAGGGTATATTTCTCGCTTCGATCTAGTCTAGAGATATATATAGCTTCATGCGTGGTAAGAGCCGAGCAAATCGAGGTATGCATGGTAATGTGTGTACTTCAATAATGACGCAAGGATGCCGCTAGTAATCCTGTAAACAACAAACGACGACGACATCGTCAGCAGTAGGAATTGCTCTTTGTTCCATTAGACAGGTGACAAGGTAATTAACGCCGTTGGCAGTTTCAGTGGAGATTTTACATGAGTTTCATAGATATTGAATATATATGGAGAGAGAGATGATGAATGTTTAGTGGAATCACTACTACAGAATAAACAATCACTGCCGGCCCCATCACCGTCAGAATTTTAAAACCGACACTGATAGTTACATCACTGTCGGTTCGTGAGAAAAAAAACCTATTACTGCCGGATTTTCTAACAACCCGACAATGATAGATATTATCATTGCCGGTTGGTATAAAAATCCGACAGTGATGTCTGTCAGTGTCGGTTGTATTACCAAACCTGACAGTGATCTATAGATCCGGACCCGAAATTTTTATCCATCCTGGTTAACTCCTCCCTCCCATCCATGAGATCTTTCCTTTGCTCCTCCCCAACTCGCCAGACCACCTCCTCTCCACGGACGCGGAGGCCACCTCGTCTCGCACCTCACCTCGTCGTGCGCCTGTGCCACCGCTCGCCGTGCCACCATTCCAGCCGCGCCGCCTTACCATGCGCCCGCGCCCGAAAAAAGTCTACATAACCCCCAACTATTTTCGGGTGGACTACTTCACCCCCAAACTATAAAATCGGATTTTCTATCTCCTGAATTTTTCAAAATTGGTCAAATAAACCCCAAGCGGTTTTGGACGGTGGTTTTGCTACAACGACGGTGGTTTTGTCTTTTTGTTTTTTATTTATTTCCGCTGAATCTTTAAAAAATCATAGAAAAATCATAAAATGGAAAATCTAATTTTGTTGAACTCCACGTGACACGTGAGTAGATCTACACGGTGAACATATAATATGGTATGCTTTAATATAAAGTTTTTGCTGTAGCTTTAGATCTATGCTTTTCTATAATTAATTGGAATAATTCATAGGTGCAGCTTCTATGGTCCAATTATGGTGAATTTTTTTATGGTGGACTGATTATTGTATGCTTGAACTATAGTAAAAGTTTCATACTCATTGGATCATGTATAACTTAGTTATAGATTTGTTTATGTTTATGCTTGTTAAATCTATGCTTTATCTATAACTAAGTTATCAATGATTGAATGAGTATATAATTTTTACTATAGTTCAAGCATACAATAATTAGTCCACCATAAAAATTTTACCACAATTGGAGCATAGAAGCTGCAGCTATGAATTATTTCAATTAATTATAGAAAAGCATAGATATAAAGCTACAACAAAAACTTTATACTAAAACATGCCATATTATATGTTCACTGTGTAGACCTACTCATGTGGAGTCCAACAAAATTAGATTTCCTATTTTATGATTTTTCTGTGATTTACTATGATTTTTCAAAGATTCAGCAAAAATAAATAAAAAAGAAAAAGACAAAGCCACCGTCACTGTAGCAAAACCACCGTCTAAAACCGCTTGAGGGGTTATTTGACTGGTTTTGAAAAGTTCAGGGGTAGAAAATCCGGTTTTAAAGTTTGGGGGTAAAGTAGTCCATCCTGAATAGTTGGGGGTGTTATGTAGACTTTTTCCCGCACCTCCTTGACGAGCGCAGCCGCGCCCGTAAACCCGGGCTTGCGCCCTCGTGTGTGTGGCACGGAGCATCACCCAATCAGCTGTCGGGATCTCCTCCGCTGCGGGCCGGGAGCGCGGCCGCGCGGCTCAGCGCGGATCCACTCCGACGCGGGGGAGGGGGAGTAGCGCGGGCGAGCAGACAGCGCCACGCGACTTCTTCTACCTCCGGATCACGGTGCTCTCTTTCCCCAATCTTTCTTTCCCCTGCAATCTCCCCTTCCCGGTGCTCTCTCTCACACTCTGTATTCTCAGATCTGGTGTTGGAGCGGCGAGGGGCGCAACCTCCGCCGTGAGACCAAGCTCGTCCCGCTTGGCGGCATCTCCACTCTCTCCTCCTCCTGGCCTCCCCTCCCCTCCCCTCCCTCTATATTGTATGAATCAATTTGTTGTTGAGTTGATGTGATGCGTTGAACCCTTCTCCTTTGTGATGTACGAATTTGTGGATGAGTTGATTTGTCATGTGTCGAACCCCTCCTTTGTTAGTGATGTATGAATTGTTTTTGGATGAACTGCTTGATGGAGCGGTGGCGGTAGCCAGCAACCATGGCGTGGCGGTGATGGCGACGGTAGCGAGCATGCTCCAGCAAGCAGGAAGCATGCTTGCTGTATTCCTTTTTTTGTTTTTTAAAGCCTATCATTGTCGGGTGAGATACCGGCACGATAGCTAGAGGCATCACTGGGGTTTGTAGTAACCGGCAATGATGTGAACCCCCATCACTGCCGGTTCAAAATCCGCAGTGAAGGGGAATTTTGAATCGACTGTGATGTGAAGAACTGGGGTAGTGAATGACATCGTGGGGATAAATAAATTGTCTACCCTATTCGCAAAAAAATGGTCTAACATGCGAGTAAATTTTTTCTTATATAATATTTCAAAACAACGATTATTGCAAGTCGAATTAAAGTTTTTTTTAGAATACACGTCGTCAAGAGAGGAAAAAGAAGATGGGCCCACCTACTTTGGGCATCGTCGCCTTTTCATCTTGATGGGCTTGGAAGGAGGCCATTTACAATCCACTTTAATTTAGCCCAAGAGAACTTCACTTTCGGCAATGGCCTGTTTGGATCTATTTATTTGGGCTAAATTGGAAAACATACTTCATGAATTAGCTTTTTTTTAACTTAGAATTTGATATTCTGCCAGTTTTCGAATCTTAAGTATGGACCTATGTTAAATTTAGAGGGTAAGAAATAAATAGGAAGTGAGATTCATCATCCTTGCAGCCCATTCTCCTTCGTTCGTTTCTTTATGTCTCAAGAAACTCCTATCCAATGCCGATAAGTCAAATTAGTTCCAACTAGCTCATCAACCCGTGCAAATACGGTCTTCAATCTTCCTCCCCGCCCCTTCAATTTATTTCCTAACATAAGAACGTTCTTTTAGGCAAACTCTGCTTCAACCAGGTTTTTTGTAAAACATTTAGCCGAACAACTTGTCATGGTACATAAAAATGATGAAATGTCCATAACATTCTTCTATTTTTATTTTTTTCTTTGTTTATTTATTTCTTTCCTCTTATTTCCCCTTATCCTCAACTACATCCGGTTGTTGTCCATTTCTCCACCCCTGCTTATCTCGTCGCTCTGCCCTGCCCACCATCCTGCTAGTGACTCTGCCCAGCCTACACCCCCAGCTACTCTGCCCCGTTCACGCCCGGTGATTCTGCTCCAGCGCCTCTGTCCGCCTCGGTGCCTTGCCTCATCCCACGCGCCTACGGAGGAGAGGTATTCTGGGGCTAGCCAGCAAGCAAGGACAACACAGCCAGGAGAAGCTTGTTTCAGCTTCGTCTGTGGCCCATACCTCGTGAGACTGGGTTTTCTATGGTTCCACTTCCACATTAGGTGCTATCCTTTTCCACCGGTTTGGTAAAAAATTATGCAGAACTATGCCTGAAGCTGCTGCAGAATCTCTACCAAACATTCCTTTAATATGAATTTATTTGAATCACTTTAAGATTTATCAACTCTTGTTGTATCGTGTTAGCTAGAACTTTGGGTCCACGTGTTAGGTTCGAACTCTAGTGTTTATTATACTTTAGTGTTATTAAAGTATATTCTTTATAATAGCTTCCATTGGTATTTATACGTAAGATTCAGGGGATATTTTAGTTTTTCTTTGATAATGGTACACCATCGGTAATTTATATTATGTTTTATAATGATATACATGGCAATTAAAAAATAGAAAATGTTTTGCATTATCTTTCATACGGTAGATGGGGTAATTTCGATGCAAATGGAGGGACTAAATATATATTTTTTTATAATGACAGAGGTGGACAAGTTTTGAGAAAATAGGGTACATCTTATGATTATATTAGGGATAATTAGTTTACTAAATTGTAGGCTAGATGTTTCTAATCACTCTGATTATTTCTAAGATTTTGTGAACACAAGGTTGATATTTACCTTTGTGGTTCGGATTTGTTACGAGTGATTGTCAACGTGATTTGCGTCTTGGGTTGAGTTTGTGAATTAACTATGGCGTGAGTTGGGTTGTGCAACATGTTTCTTGGCTTGTGGTGCGCATGTGTGGAGCTCCGAGGTGGTGGTCGACGGCGAGGTAAAGGTCAAGTAGGGACGTGTCGTGCCGATGGACTGGGAGCGATGAAGGATGGACGTGAGGCTTGGACCGAGAAACCAGGAGACCGATCGGGTGACCAGCCGCGGTGGCTGACATCTGGGGACATCGACAAGCGCATGTGTACATGGGAGTGACCGTGTTGACCGAGTCAAGACGGTGGATGAGCAAGTCGAGCGGATGCTCTGGAAGACCTGGCGCTCGGGCGGTCGAAGACGGCGGTGACACGTGTCGAATGGCAGGGGACGCGTATGGAGTACGCTACTTGTTGGTGCAGAAAGTGACTAACTAGTAAATATTTGTAGTTTTGCCGTACGTTGTGATCGGAGGTGGCCTAGCACTCAATGACACAGGGTTTATACTGGTTCAGTCAACGTGCCCTACGTCCAATTTGGGTTGGTTAGTGACTTTATTCCTGAACCCAGGTGCTCGAAGTTTGCAGTGGGGTTACAAACGAGACGAAGAAAGATGGAGTGTACAAGAGGTCCGGTCAGCTCTGGTCGGAAGGGCTGAGAGTGACAGGAGCTACGCTATGAGCTAAGTGTTCAAGCATGTGCTTGAGGTCCGAACCCGGCGGTTCTGTGGTTGTGAGCTAGTGAACTTGATCGATGTTCATTAACTAAAAGGACTCTCCTTCGTTGGGGGGAGCGCATCCCCTTTTATAGACAAAGGGGATGGCTTGACAAGTGAGAGGGTGAGGGTACGTATGCTACTGAGCTTTGTTGCCCATGCCGGTAGGTACAAGATAATGGTAGGCGCCCACAACACTGTTGATGTCACTGTAGAATGTCAGATGCCTGTGGGAGGTTGCGTTGCCTTCTTCAGGAATGGTAGATGTCGGTACCTGCAAATACTGTTTGATGCCTAGAGGCATTTGAGGAGTTTGACCATGTTCACCTGGTATGGTAAATCCCGGCGCCCACAACACTATCGATGCCCACAGGCATGTGGGGGGCCTTACCGTATGGGAGTTAATGGCGCCCACAATACTATAAAGGGAAATATCGGCGCCTACAATACTGTTTGTGTCAGGACGATTGTAGAGTACTGTTCCTATAGGCGTACAAGGTATGGTCCCTGGTATCGTGGTTTGACTTGTGTGCCCTGGCTTGCTTTCTCCGTTCGTCCCCTCGTCCTTTCCGAACGGGCGTCCCCGGTCGGATGGCCCCAGTCGGCTCTGGTCGCGCCAGTCGGAGAAGAGTGGTGAGCAGGGTTCCTACGAACCCCGGTCGGAGACGCGGGGTCAGAGTCGGCAGTAGTGCTTGGGCGAGGCCTTCCGATTGGCGAGGCCGTCCGGAGGCGGCTGGAGTCCGAAGCGAGCGCTCCGGTCGGAGAGGTGGGCCGAAGTAGTCGACGAGCGGGCGTTGTTCCTCTTCGGCCAGACCTTCCGATCGGTGACTGGACCGCCCTTTAGGCCTGTTGTTTTTAGACTCTTGGGTCAGCCCATGAGTTACGTAATGTCTGCTTGGGCCGAGTCTTGGTGTGGAAGCCGGTCCCCGAGGGACCCCGGGTTTACGAACCCGACAGGAGCCCCCGAGCCCCCGGACGATTTGGGCAGAATCATCCGGGGGATTTTTGTCTTGCCAGTGGGTGCGCGAGCGCACCCACGGGTGTAGCCCCCGAGTCCCCAGGCAGTTTGGGCAGAACCGTCTGGGGAGTTTTCTGTGTTGTCGGCGTGTGCGCGCGAGCGCACCCACAGGTGTAGCCCCCGGGCGGTTCGGGCAGAACTGTCTGGGGGGTGTTCGGTAGCAGGCGTGTGTGCACGTTTTTAGTTGGGATAGAGTTTTGTTAACCAAGGCGTCGTTGCGCAGCCGTGGCGTTTAGTCGCTTGAGAGATTGGGTGAGATGGAGCCTGTGGATCCTGGCGTCGATGCACGCCGTGGGATCGGGTGAGGCAGTTAGTCTAGTTAGTTTGGGATAGGGCGAGGCGACAAGGCGGTGCTCGTGGATCCTGATGGGGCGAGATTGGGGTCGCAGACCCAGGTAGTTTTCGGAGCGCAGTCGGAGCATAGCCGGATGGGGCGAGATCAAGGTCGCAGACCCAGGTGTTTGGAGCGCAGTCAGAATGGGCGAGTTCGGGGTCACAGACCCAGGCTTTTTGTGTCTTTGAGCAGCCAAGCCTCGTTGGGCCTTAGTAGGGGTCGATGTGAGTTATGTGCGTTACCCCATCCTCGGTTCCTCACAACCGAAGGGGCTGAGTTTTGTCGCTTGTCCCGATCGCTCGGGCTCAAGTAACGCGCTCGGTGAGTTCGCTAAGGGGTATGATCGAGCGGAATCCGGGTCCGTCGTTTGTGATGGGGTCGACATAGCCCTCTTGTGACATTCCACTGCTTCTTTACCTGTAACCTGGCAGATGCCTGGGTCGTTCCGGAGACCGACCCGGGTGGCCTAACGGCCTCCCCTCGATGGAGATTCTGTGGGCTTGGCAAGAGATTCAGGATCAAATGAGAAGGTTGAGATGACCCGGTCTGCCAGACTGGGCGAGGGCCGCACGGGGCTCATCTACATTTTTCTCCCTTGGCTCTGTTGGTTGCTCATGTCGAATGAGGCAACCGCCGCTTCGTGACGCAACACGGAGCGTTGTGATGCATTTCGCTGCACGTGCGATGCTTAGTTCCCGAGCCCCCGGGCGGTTTTGGGCCCGAATCATTCGGGAGGCATGGGTGTATGGAATGAATGCGTGTATGGATGTATGAAATGATTATAAGGAAATAGTGGGGGTTGGTAGTTTTTACCTTGATGACTCGAGTGACGGGGTTTGGAGAGCTCCAGTCGGAAACATCCGACCGGGACCCGTGCTCGTCGTTCGTGACGGAGTCGGCATGGCCTATATGGGGCGTCCCTTTGCTCCTTACCTGTCTCTCGTTGTCAATCCTGAGTGATTCGATCGACTCAGGGGGGCTCATGGTCTCTCCCAACGGAGATCTCATTTTTGGTTTTTTCTAGGTTTGGCCTGGGGAAGTGGGGAGCCGCCCGTGTGCGGTGGCGCTTTGGTTCTTGTGCCCAGCCCTGGCCATGTCCTGTCCGATCAGGAGCCGTTCCATCGAGCAGGGCATGTCTCGTCGGTCAGGGCGTGTCTCATCGATCAGGGTGCGTCTCATCTGCATTAAATGGGAAAGTGAGAGAGTTTCTCGCTCCACCATTTTGCCTTCCCTGATCGACGCGCCCTTCCCTAACTGCTGTTCTCTTTTCCTTAAGTAGGAGAAGGGAGAGGGTTTTTTGCCCCGTTCTTTTGCCTGTCCCTCATCTGCCGCCGCCTTTCCTCTTTCTTCTTGCCGTGAGCGTTCCTGAGAGCCGCGGTGGTTTCTAGGCAAGAAAGGGGAGAGAGCGAGGGAGAAGAGAAGAACTCACCAATCCTTTTGCGATCTCGGAGAGAAATGTCGGACTAGAGGTCATCCACCATGAGGGAGTCAGTGTTGAAGGCCTTCGTTGGGAAGGGGCTCCTGCCGCCGAAGGAGGTGGCGCACTGGAGGGTTCTCGAGAGGGAGGAGTTCCCGTAACCTCGGCCCAACGAGGTGGTTTCCTTTCTCACCTTCCACGAGCGCGGGTTAGGATACCCCACGCACTGGTTCCTGTGCGGGCTCCTCAATGAGTGGGGTCTGGAGCTGCAGCACCTTAATCCGACGAGGGTGCTGCACATCGCCGGTTTTGTCACCGTCTACGAGGCTTTCCTCAGGATGGAGCCGCACGCGGATTTCTTTTGGCGGCTCTTCTTCGGGAGAGCCTTGACGGCGGGGAACCTGGCCGAGATCACGTCAGTGGGGGGTTTCACCCTGTAGAGGAAACCGAGTGCGGGAGGCTCGTATCCCGCGTACCTCCCCTATGACTCCAACCGGGGGTGGCATAGGGAGTGGTTTTATATCAGGAATCCAGCAGCGGCGCCGTTCCCGGCGATCACCGGTGGGAGGCTGGAGAAGCAGGATAGTTGGTCGTGGGGTTGCGCCCATAAGGAGAAGCATAAGGTGGGGTTCATCGAGGAGGAGCTTTGGAAGCTCATAAAGCACGGCCTTGATAGGGTGCGGGTGTTCCACACCCTCTACCATCGCCGGGTCACGCCGTTGGCGGAGAGGACGCGGCCGATGTGGTTGTACAGTGGCCCGTCGGACCTAGACCGCGCGTCGCTGGAGGATCTGCTGGACGACGAGGTCTGGAGTCACCTTGGCCGGGTGCTGCAGCTGAATCCCAAAGAGAGGGTCCAAGGGAAGCCCGTGCCTTTCAACTCCTCGATCGTGTCCGAACTGGTATGCTCCCTTCTCTT